ACATAAGCAAAAAGAAAAAAGCCGGAAGTGGCACTGTGGCTCAAGTGGTAGAGCGCTAGCCTTGAGCTGAAGAGCTGAGGGACAGCACCCAGGCCGAGTTCAGGCCCCACAACCCGACCCGACTCAAGTGGTAGAGTGCTAGCCTTGAGCAAAAAGCAGCTCAGGGATGGTGTTTAAGCCCTGAGTTCAAGCCCCAGGACTGGGAGAAAAAAAAAAAAACTCAATATGGTGATGTCTTTCCGTTAAGAAGAACATGAATCAGGGGATCTGGGGAAATAGCTTTGTGGTACACAGCTTTTTGCCTAGCATGTACAAGGTTTTGAGTTTGAGTTCCAGCACAGGAAAAAAAAAAAAATCAGAATGATTCTTCAGATTCCTCAACTTTTTTTTTTTTTTTTTGTCCAGTTGTGGGGCCTGAACTCTGGGCCTGGGCGCTGTCTCTCAGCTCTTCAGCTCAAGGCTAGCGCTCTACCACTTGAGCCACAGTGCCACTTCCGGCTTTTTCCTTTTTGCTTATGTGGTGCTGAGGAATCGAACTCAGGGCCTCATGCATGCAAGGCAAGCGCTCTACCACTGAGCCACCTTCCCAGCCCCTCAACATTTCTTATGGAACTGAACATTCATTGTATTCCACAAGAAACCTTTTGGTTACGGTACTTTCCTTCATAAAGGTTTCTAAATAGACATATATGGGCCCTACTTAAAACTTGCTCTGAATTTTGTCAGCCCTCATGTGGCACTATGAAAGCTGGCACTGTGAATACTCCACTGACATAATGGCAAAAGGAACAGCATCTGGGTTTTAACTGGAAACTCCCAACAAACCTCAGACAATTGAAGAGAGGCAAAAAAGTTTGCATTTTCTGATATGTTCTTCAATCTCTTCCTCTCATATGGTGACAATCCTGAAAAATCATCCTGTGAAATTACACCAAAAAGATTGTTATTATACATAATAACAAAGCACTTCACAAAACCTGGTGTTTCACTCTTAGCACATACTTTTCTTCAAATTGTACCCACACTATTCATTTCATGTTATCTTTTGTTATTTTATCAGTCATAAGGCCTGAACTCTGGGCATGGGCGCTGTCCCTCAGCTCTTCAGCTCAAGGCGATTACTCTGAACACTTGAGCCACAGCACCACTTCCAGCTTTTTCTGTTTATGTGGTGCTAAGGAATGGAACCCAGGACCTCATGCATGCAAGGCAAGCAGTCTACCACTGAGCCACCTTACCAACCCTATTTTTTTTTAATCAGTCGTGGGGCTTGAATTCAGGGCCTGGGCATTGTCGCTAAACTTTTTTTTTTTTTTTTTTTGGTCAGTCGTGGGGCTTGAACTCTGGGCCTGGGCACTGTCCCTCAGCTCTTCAGCTCAAGGCGAGCGCTCTACCACTT